GTGCCTGGAGTGTGCATTTCTTGTTGGTGACTTCGTATTCCACCCATGACCCTGGAAATGTGGTAAGCTTGCTTTGTACTTTCTTGGGCCAGTGCTGTCTAGTCCTTTTCTCACAAATGGAGAAACTGGTTGCGATTCAGGTTTCATTCCGGGGTTCAGTTCCAGCCACATCTCTCACCTGCCCGTGTTAGAGCACCACCACATCCTCATGTCCCTGCTGGGCCGTATTTCTCATGGGCTACTGCAACCTTGATTCATGCCTATCCTCTGGTTAAAATCCTGAATTCTTGGGACCTAGGGGATGCCCTTTCTTTCTTTCATTCAAACTCCACTATACATTGAAAGGAAAACTTGATCTATATTATACAGCGAGTTGTGTGCTTATCGAGGGGATGGGGCAGGGTCTCTGCATCGTCTCAGTCCTCTATGCCTCTGACATCCTCCATCACAGACTTCCATGAGGAACGTACCCTCTCTCTTACCCTAGACTATGTTTTCTGATTTCCACTAAAACACTAACCATTTCAATGGTCCTAGAAGACAGATTGGCTGGAGCGGAATTCTGTTTTCTCTCAAAAATTAGCTGAATTCTTTAGTTCCTAAGCAACACTAATTTTTTCTAGAGAGCCTGGCACATGTTGAGAACTTAATAAATGCTGGTTATCTTCCACTAACCATCCAAGAATAGCAATCAGAAAAGCCCATTTTTATCCAAAGCATACAATTAAAGAGGTAAGATCTCCAAATGAGAGGGGCAGCAGTTATATTCGAAAAGGTGACGCCCTCCACTTCCACGGACGGGGGCAGCGATGAGAGCCGGGAGGTGGGAGAGAAATGCTTCTTTATAAATCCTTTGATGCCCAGTTTTCAAAAGGCAACCTTATTATTTCCCCCCAGTTGTTGAGAGGTCTTACAATCTCAGGATGACACATATTCAATTAAGGTACAAAAATAGTGTGGAAATTTTCTATCGTTTAGAGTCATTTGTAGGGAAAATCTCGAATATTTGTATTAAAAAATCAAGAACATAATGCTACTAAATACAGGGAAAAAATTCTCCACTTTTCCTTACTCCTGAGCTATGAAGGAGTAGAGATAGTCTTGGTTCCTTCTATTTGTAGTAAAATACAAGAGTCTGTCTGTCCAAAATTCCAACAGCAGTATGAACTTTGTGTTTTTAAATGATCAAAGTGGAAAAAAAATACCAGATTTAGAAATTTTGCTTTTGGACTGAAATTTCTACAAACAACATTTTCCAAATAATCTACTGTATATTTATGTCACCACAAATGGTCCCCTGCTTTTGAAGTTATAATCTTGAGGCCTCTATTGCTGAAAAAATCTTTCACGCTAAAATCCATCCTAACATTTTTGAAGCATATTCCTTTATGCCAAAGTTATATCATAATATCTTATTTTATTTCTTAATTTAAATTGGGTTAAATAACATAGATGTAAAGCATTGCTACTACACTGAGGCGGATTTCAAGTATGTTCTCCTAAACTCTGCCAGGCATCACTATTCATCTTCCCATATCAGAAAATCTATTTGCTAGGAGGGCAAATTGAACCATAAAAATGTAAATGAACAGAGAAATCCATGAACTGACATCTGTGGTCCCACCCAACATCCATAATTTTCCCTATGGTCTTGTTAAAAAGCAAGTAGTATCCTGTATCTGTCAACACAGTTTGGAAAGGATCATATACTCTTCAATTATTTTCCCATATTAAATTGATGGGTTATATCATACCAAACCTTCAGGGATGTTTGCAATGTCAAGATAAACCAACAAAGTAGTCTTCTTGCTATATAGTATCCAGTTACTTCCAATGTCTAAACAGGAACCACTAGGGAAAATGATACAAATTGAGACAGTCTCACTATTTTAAAATAGCAAACTATTTTAATAAATGGCATTGTTCTCAGTAAATTTAGTTTTTTTTAGGATAGGTCTCTAGCACAGCAAACACGATGGTCACTGTAACCCTGCCAATGGCATGATGGATCTGATTAACTAAATACTCCTCCACCTCCATGCAGCCCTCTCTTTCAAGCACTCAGAGTTGAATTGTCTGTATTGGCAAGAAGAAAGATACTGACAAATAACAATAAATTCCATTAAACGTTCTCATCTCATAAAAGCTTAGTCACCCAAATTTCAGAAACCTTGCAACGCAGAAAGTGTAAGCAATTTGCATACTGAAATTATGATCTACATTTTATATACAATTAAAATTTAAGTTCTCTGAAAAACAGGCCACATCATCCTAGGGATCCACAGCCTTTGAATTCTGAGGTCTTTAGCATGCTGTAAACTTGGTGCCTCGTCTCTTCAGTGTGACGGATATTATCATAGGAGATAATGGTAATTATTCAATCTGATCCAAAGACCCAGCCATCTCCCAGAGAACTAATCATTAGAATGCAAATAGGTGTTTCCCACTTCACTGGTTTAGCGGTGAAAGACTGTTAACAGCTTTCTGACAAGAAAGAGAGGAGCTCCATGACTGGATGCCGTAACCTTCTGGATGCCAGGAGCACAAGGCACCCGGACCTGAGCTGCACATTCTGTCGCCAGCCTCTGGCTCTGATCCCTTCTGTGCAACGGCGTTTACCAGTTAACTGATAGAAGCTGCCGAAGAAATTACTGAACAAAAAGGCTGATTTCAGATTCTGCTCGCTGCACCCAGCCAGCTCTCACTTAGACTAATTACTTAAATGATTTAAAAATGTATGAATATTCATGTGATCGTGCTTTGCAAAAAATAAAGCACAGCTGAGACCATGCCATCAAGTCTTCCCTGCCTTCCCTGATTTGGAGCGAGTCCACGTGCAGATCTGAAACCTGAAATGGCTGCAGAGTGTCACATCACAGTGGAGCGGAGGAGAGAACAGCGGTCAGAGCCACCATTGCCCCATCACCACAGCCCATGACGGTCAAGTGGCTGCAGCCTGAGCTTCTCCCTAACCCTTCCTTGCCCCTGTGGTGTGGGTTGACTGTATCTGTGATGTGGAAGTTGGACAAGGCAGGTGACTGGAGGGACAGCACACCTGAGATCGTCCAGGTTGGGCAGACGCTGGTCTGCCGTCTGAGGGTGGTGGGGTCAAGAGGCTCCAACACGGGGCCAGGACCCTTGGGGGCAGGAGGACCTGACCCCTTCTCACCATGTTGAAGGCTGCTGAGGCCATGGAGGTCAGCCTGGGAGACCTCGGGTCCACCTGGAGTCCAGCCCACCACTGTGGATGTCACAGAAACAGACACAGCCACCCATGAGCAGGTGCTCCTGAGGCGACCCCCCGGCCTTGACTCAACCAGGCCTCGCCTCACAGCATGTGTGGGACTGACTTGGTGGATCAAAACCTGCTTTTATGGCAGCACGAGGCAGCAAACAGCTGAAAACCATAATCCACACGATCTATACGGCCCTCGCAGAAAACAGACATTTGTCAACAGAAACGAGTGGACGAGAAAAAGGTGATGCAATTCGGACAAGCCCCAAGTTACGAGATGTTGACATTTCACAATTCTCTAGGATACGCAGCACACTGAAAACTTTCCATAAAAAGTGTGTGTGTGGGGAGGACAAAGAGAATTAAACAGGAAGGCAAGCATGACATGCATGGTCCCGGCGTGGGAACGACAATGAAAAGTTGTAATGAGAAGAAATAATAAAACTACCAAATGCCTGAGGACACAAGACACGCTGGAGAACCTCATCAGCCACCTCGCCACCCTGGGCACAGCGAGGAGAGGCCCGTGGGCATCCGCACGAGGCAGCCCCACACGAAACCTCTCTCAATGGTCTCCTGGAACAGTCATCCCAACAAGGACCATGAAACGCAACAATGCTTCTGGCCCTGGAAATACCAGGGGTCCAGAGTCTCATGGCTTACATCCCGGTGAAGCTCAAGACTTTAAACACAAGTGACTGCCTTCCTCATGGTCACATCTATGCCTTGTGTTTCCTTACACACATGGGAACAGTTCCGAACTTGGTCATCATAACTCAGAGAACCGCAAAACTGAGCAAACAGTGTTGGATGGAATTTCCAGGCTAACCCTAGAGTCACTTCTTGTTTTCAACTCCTGGGTAAAACTCCTTCCAGGGATGGTGGTTAAGAGTGCATGGCGCAGTGCGTATATTAGAGTCTTTCTTATTCTGGCACTTTGGGGTCCTTGGCCATAGTCCCTCACTGTGCTGAGACGAGAATTGGGTGGGCTGTTCTGACCCCACATCATATTCTGGGGTCAGCCTGTCTCACAGCTCCCTGAGGCTGACTGGTCTTCTAACCAGTTGGCTTCTTTCTGCTAAAAGCAGACTCCAACATCGAAACTCTGGTTATTTCAGAGGCCCCGCTAACAGTGATGGGCTGTTCATCAGGTTCCTCTGTTCCTTCTCATTACCACACTGAAAAATACGACACACATTTTGGCTTTCCCTATTTTAGAACACAGTTAACAAACAATCTACGCAGGGGCTCCACTTTTAAAGTATTTTAGACTTAAAAAGTTCAGCTGAGATTCCGATGATAACAGGCTGTTAACAAAGTTTCCTACCCACCCCTCTCAGCTTTAGCATCAATAATAAGGAAGAGTTCTGTGAGGTTTTATTTCATGTGAGGTTCATCAGCATTTTTAGCTAATATATTTAAAGCCAATAAATACGTATTTCTAATATTGGCATTTATTATCTGGAGAAAACTGACTAAAATTTCTAAATCCCAAACAAACAAAAAAAGAGAAAGTGTTGCCATTGGTTGTGATGTCCATTTCCCTTTAGACATTAACTCCCTGGCCTGACGCTCATCCTGTGCACGGGTCTGTTTACTTTGTTCACTTTTCCATCAAACACCACAAAGAACAAGATTTCGACTTTTACGCACTCTCCGATATGCTGCTCAGCTCTCCGTCACCATCGAACACAACACATGCGCCATCACCGTATCCCCACCCGGCCCACCTGGGGCAGGTGCGAGCAAGGCAGAGCACACTCACCTTCCGGCTCCCCGCAGAGGGTGCACTGCGACTCTGCAAACAGAGAAGAGACAGAGAGGCCGTTACTCCCAGGACATCCAGTTATACATTAGAGACTCATCGACAACAGTAGCACAACTGTGGCTTGAAAGATGATACAATTCTGCTGAACCGGAGTTACAGCATCTCAATAAACAACACTGGTTCTGACCTTGACCCAAGCTACTTTATTTTTAAAAAGCCACCACTGGCAAATATTTCATATATTACATCTTGTTAAGACAATTTCTCTTTGTCTCATGCACACGCACACGTTCAACATATTTTCATAACTGTATATGTCTCAACACGGACAAGTTACTTCGCTGAAATAAGACTACTTTAGCACTTAATTTTAATATCTAAACCTTTACTTTAATTACTGTTATATCTTCTTTCAGACACAAATAATCATGAGCAAAAGTGTAATATTATATTTGAGTAAAAACACTAAAACCTGAAAATATTGGCTGAGTTCTCAGTAACAGGCCCAGGAGTTTGCGTGACGCCTCGAATAGAACAGATCGAGATGCTCAGGGATCACGGCATGTAATTATATCAGAAAATCGTAACACACACACACACAAAGTGAATTGAACTGCAAATTACTCTAAGATATGGTTCCTGAGGGGAGGGGATTCAGACTTTGGGGCCAGTAGACCAAAGTCAGCCATTGTCCACTTTCCTGAGTGACTCTGGGCAACTGACTGAGCCCTTCAGGTCTAATGTGGGGATGGTGACATCCCCGTGTGGGGACGGGGAGAGGTGAGTGAGCAGAACACAGCTTCCTTCCTCGCCAGCTGCAAAGAGGCAAGCACAAGCTTCTGTCTTTGGGGGCAGCAAAGGGTTCACAGAGGACATGCCATGTGGACTGAATCTTAACAGATAAGTACGATTTCAACAGACAGAGACATGGGACAGGAACACCCCAAGTCAAAGGACGGCTTGAGTAGGGGCAGAGAGGCAGGCGACAAAGGCAGAGTCTGCTGGAGGACGGGCTGGTAAAGGCGAGTCAGTCACAGCAGGCCAGGGACACACACGTCACGGCAGGCCAGGGACACACACATCACAGCAGGCCAGGGACACACATGTCACAGCAGGCCAGGGACACACACGTCACGGCAGGCCAGGGACACACACATCACAGCAGGCCAGGGACACACACATCACAGCAGGCCAGGGACACACACGTCACAGCAGGCCAGGGACACACACGTCACGGCAGGCCAGGGACACACACGTCACAGCAGGCCAGGGACACACACGTCACAGCAGGCCAGGGACACACACGGAGGGCAGTTGATCAAGGCAGGGGACAGTGAGAAATCTAGGACCATCCTGCCCGACCTTGATCAGAAAGTGTGTGGGGTGGGAGGGCAGATGGGTTCTGAGGGAAGTGCCAGAGAAAGTCAAATCGTTCTTCACACTGAAACTAACTCTCAACTCTGACTTCTGGGAGGTGGGACGATTCCTGTCAGGGATCATGGGTCCCTGGGCTGCTCCTTGCCCTGCATGGAGGTGGGTGGAGGGGGAGGGCCCCTGACGAGGTCACCGTCTCCAAGGCACTGCCCCTTGTGGGGCCCAAGGGCAGGAACCACGATGTAGGCGCCTTCTGACATACACAGCTCTGAGCCCAGAGCTAAAGGACTCTTCATGACAAGATGGGGGGACCTGGAAGGCGGGGAGCCCAGAGTCTCAAAGGCGAGAGACAACAGCCAGGCACACAGCGGGTTTTGCTCATTTCTGACACCACCTATGTGCAAAGTCTGCAAGCACAGTCACGCCTCGTGGGAGTGGAGTCCAGGGGGTCGGGGCGTGGGCGGCGGCATAGGCGGGAGGCCATCCATCTGGGCACCTGTCTTAGCTGCAGCCGGCCCTCAGGGGCCGAGAGAACCAGGAGCACACACGCCACCCGCCCCTGAGATCTGCAGACAATGGGAAAGGGGTGCAGACGGCGGCTCAGCCTCCCGGGAGCCTCGAAGGCCGGCTCCCTGCCCTGATCTGCGTGCAGAAGGCACAGCGCCATCTCCGTGCTCCCACAGACCTGTGGGGGCAGAGGCAGCAGAGAACAGTGCGTGATACCCGACTGACTCAGACCTATCCCCAGGGAGGAAAGAGGCGCGGACCACAGACGACACACAGGAGGGGCCTTGCTGGGTGCAGGACCGGGGAGCTGAGACCAGCAGACAGCGCCGTGCACCCGCCCGGCCACCAGACTTCCCCACCAGAAATCTGAGAGACTCTTCGTTTTCCTAGGAAGGGCTGCCGGCCAGAGGCTCCCAGGAAAGAAGCCACAGTCAGAAAAACAAAAATTGATTTAAAGAAGAACACTCATTCCCGGAAACGACCTTCCTGGAATCTCTGCATTGTGTTGAGCACTGTGTGCGATGTTTGCATAAACACTGATGCTCAGACCCCTCACCGAGCTAACACGTCACTTAAAACTCCCGCTCGTGCGACGACCTCAGTTATCCTCCCAGGACCGTCCTGGGTCGTGTGAATGGAAACACGTGAATGACGCCATTCCTTGGTTTAGAAAACCCGCAGAGAGGCTGGCGGCCTCTGGAAGAGGAGCTCGTGGTTAAACATGAGGACGGCTGGATCGAAGGGCTGCTCAATGAAGAAGCAGCACAGACTCGGAAAAAAGAACAGCCGGCAAACTGTGAGTTTCACAGCACGTGTGATGGTGCGGGGCGGAGGAATGTCACCCGGTTTTCTCTGTAGGGGACGCGCCGGCGCGTCCCAAGGAGGGGGACATGGGCACAAAGGCCCAAATCACGAGGCACTGGATGCGGGAAGCAGCAGGAGAGGCCAGGAGCCGGAGGGAGCAGGACATCGAGGTTCACACGATGGTGAGGGATGGGCCACAGGCGAGCGAGGCGTGGGGCGTGGGTCATGGAGGGGCTCTGGGGGCTCATTTCTCCTGAAAGGTAAGGAGCCATCAGCGTATGTCGGTAATCCAGGAGATGCTGCCATAGTCCTTCTTTCCAGGAGCTTCGCTTGCCACAGGGAGGGCCAGGCAAAAGGACAGAGTCACTGGTCCCCACGACAAAGCTGTCAACGTGGACAGGGAGGAGGGAGCAGACCTGAGAGGAGAACAGCGTGGTCTGGGGACGGAGGAAGGCAGGGCCTGAGTGAGAGGGTAGATGCTGATGCCGACGTTGACGCCATGAAATCCGCAATATCGGGTGGCGTCTAGCAGTGAAGCCCTTTCCTCCAGCCCTGTTCTGGGCTCACGTGAGCCTGAGAGTCTGGAGCAGAAGCTGGGCAGCTGATGGCGCTTCACTTCAGTCATGATTTACTACAAGTGACTAGTTCACACAGAGTGTCAGGCTTAATGCCCCGGAGGGAAGACGCTGCCATTCACTCAGGGTTTCCACGCTGGCTGGCAGTGGCCTCGGGGACGCCCGGCCGTTGGAAGGCAGTGAACCTCTCAGCCTTGGTTTCCCATCGAATCCTCACCTCAAAGGGGAAGTTGAGCCATTGCTGGTAATAAGTGGAATTAAGCGTATTTAACTCTCACAGGACCTGGCGCTAGGCTGGGCTCAGTCAATGATAGTTCTGGTCCCCAGGAGTTTCTAAGGCAGGAGAAGTCGGCTCCTGCCTTCAGGTCCCCCAGCGGCCCCCCCAGCCTGGGCGCCGGCCTTCCTCACATCCTGGAGTTCATTACAGGGAAAGGTGCGCTTCCCGTGGGATGCGGCGTGACAACATCCGATCTACTCTATCGCGTTCTTCCCCGAGGAACACCCATTAAAGAAATAGTCACAATGTAGAAGGGAATTAAACTTGATACACTGTGGATTCATCATCATTAGTGCAGAGTCTCATTTAGATTAGGAGAAGACTACACTAATTTATGCTAATTGACACAAGGTAGAGAAATCTTCCTGATGACTTCGTGTACATGCGATCCCTACCTGCACCAGACGCAGCCCCGCGAGAATCAGCTTGTTCGCCAAGCTCTGAAACACGGAGGGTGAGAGCCCGCCTGCTTTCTCACTGGCATGGGGCGTGCATCCTGTTTTAGTCTCCCAGAAAAGAGGGAACTGTGGCATCTCCGGTGTGAACCCATGAAGTATTCTGTCTACGGACGTTACTCTAAATTTATGCATATATTTTTAGAGCAGCGGCTTTCAGCCTGTAAGTGAAGCAATGCACACACACGGCGTCTCTCTCTCATCTTCTCTCCTATTTGAGCATAATGATGTCCCCTCCCTCCAGCCTATGTGACTCACTGGGTGTGGGGTGAAGCTGATGCAGGTGAAGGAGACGCCGAGGCCGCTGGGGCAGCCTCCAGGGAGCCCCTGGCAGCAAACAGCTGACTTGCACACAGAAGCTCCAGCAGCCAAGCTCAGGTGACACAGACACAGACCGTGCTAACGCTGCCAGATCTCCTGGCAAGGCCCATTTCAAGATCACTGAGAACAGGACATCACTTTCCTCAAGGCAAAAAGCATCAATGTTCATTCTGCAGAGCAGAGACGGGCTCGCTCGGCCAGGACGGGCACTGAGGGTGAGAGGCACGTGCTGTGGGCTGGGCAGAGAAGGGGGCAGCAGGGGAGGCTGGGAGCTGGGGGGCTGGCAGAGGAGACTGGGCTCAGAAGGCTGGCATTGGGCTGCTGTGCCAAGTGCATTAATTTGCCACTTCCCACGTCCTCCTCTGCCTCCCTCCAGCGGGGCAGCGACTAATCGGGGTGAGAGAACACCGCTTATGCCCTTCCTCTCCTGAGTCTCAAAGCAAGCTGCAGGATGCTTCCTTGTGCTCATCGCTGAGAAATGCTCCACATTAAGAGCCACTGGAGGCAAAACATCAAGACAGCTTTTGAATGGGAGGTGGAGAGCTGGTCAGACCTGCCGGAAACCACAGGACCAAGGCACCACTGCGACTGTCAGCACATCTCAGCCAAGTGAAGAACATGAAAATACGACCCTCTGCAAAGAGCCTGTGAGCAGGCGCTCCCTCATCCAAGCACTGGAGGCCATATAACACGACTGGATGACGCGATGACTATGTG